GTAGCCTGGTTTACAGTCATCCTGCATCAACTGTCATGCGAACCATCAATACTGTCGTGCTCGGCTCCAAAAAGGGGTCGCATCGGGATTGAGGTCCGGATCTTTCATAGTCATACGGGACAAAAGAATGGTCATGTGCTCTAAGATCACGTGAAAAACGCACGCACGTCCGACGAGGACGTCAGAAGAATGTCGAAGAGTTCGGTCCCAAGAAATTTTGGCCAAGTCAGTTACTTTCTACACTGAGATTCCAGAGCAGTTATTAAACTTTATAGTAGACTGGTGACATCTTTGGTGCTACAAGCACTACCATTTTGCTAATATGCAAAAACACCTGTACTGGTACCAACCTTTAACTTCATATTGGTTATACTCTCGGCTGCGTAAGAAGGGTCTGGCAAAACACAACCAGGGTAACGGTTTGTGGAGCTGCGGCCACAGATAGTGATTAAGGATTCCCAGAAAGCCAGCCACAGCATACAGGACATAACTCACATAAGGCTACAGAGAAATAAAACAGAGCATGCGTTGAATCTCTTAAGGGTCTAGCTGCTAAATGGGGAGCAGGGGTGGCGCAGGGGTGAGAGCACTTGCCTCCCACCAGTGCGGCCCGGGTTCAAATCCAGGCGTCGACGCCATATGTGGGTTAAGTTTGTTGTTGGTTCTTTCCTTTGCTCCGAGAGGTTTTTCTCCGGGTACTCCGGTTTTCCCCTCTCCTCAAAAACCAACATTTTCAAGTTCCAATTCGACCAGGAATCAGGTAGACGAGGAACCATTATGTGTGTACCTCCAAATCGTTATTTATTTACTTTATTGATTTATTATTTATGTAACGTTACAAAGTTTCTTCTCTATCTGCACTATCTCACCGGAAATTGCACTGTAATGAAGCCTATGACGTCGAAAACACATTCAGTGCGAGACCCCAAGAAAGGAAGGTCAGGCAGGGGTGATCACACTTCATACTGTTATCTTATTACACCCCTCTCCACCGCAGAAGCCTCTCTGTAGGGAGCTTAAGCGACGACGAAGGGGACATCAACGAGAACGGCAAAAAAGCAACAGGTTCTGATTAGCAAAACAACAACTTTGCACGTGCATCACGCTTTTTTATACATTTCTTAGACGTCGTTGCACGACCACACCGTTAAAGTGCCTAATTTCATGTTTCGTCGAGGACGGGAACTCAAGACAACAACTTTCTTATTCTTTTCCTGAACTTTGATAGAGTCCTTTAGAATTCAACTCCAAACGAAGTTGCGAACATTTGACGAATTAAACGAGATGGAGTAAGGCGCGATAAAGTTTGAGGCTGCGGGAATTCACTTTTTAAGTGACGTTTACGCAGCCGTCGCCGTTGTTGATGCTTAAGCTCCCTTGTGTTGTAGGGAGACTGGGGAGAGGGAAAAGCGCGCGGGGGACGATGGGAAGGGAAAAGAGAGGCTCTCGCCTTTCCACTCTTCCCATAGTCCAACGCGCACTTACTATTTATAATCATTTCTATTTTCACTGGAATACCCAGCGAGAGCCTCTGCATATTGTTGCATCCTTCTTGAAAAGCAATGTGAAAGAATGCGAAGTGGCCATGAAGAGCACTTCTTTGCTTTCCTGTTTTCTGGTAGACATATATGGCCAAATTGAGGTGATAGCTTATTTCTAATCGATCAAAAAACGGTTTCATACCTGGAGGGCAGTGAACACTGTACTCAAATGAATAGCAAAGACAAAAATCAGAATCAATATACAGCACACCACATCATTCTGTAAACGTTTTGCCTGAAAAATTAAATTAAAAAAAGGATAGAGCGCATTTCAATATCTAAATGCAGCTTAAATTTTAAATATTAGAATCGAGACGAACAATTAACTTATAAGATGTATTAAATAGAGATCCGCTGTTCAAAATTCGACCGGAAATTTTCCGGAACAAACAGACCACCTTCCGAAGTATTCCGCTTTTTCCGTTCCAACCGCTTAAAACAGAAATTCCCGTTCCATTTGCGTAATTCCTAATACTTATCCACTGGATAGCGATTTATCAGGTGGATAGTGTTATCCAGCATTTGAACAAGAGTTTTAAGGAAGGCATATGTCAACAAAATGAACTTACCACAGTTGCTCTAAGTTTTTCCGGCAGAGGGTCGACGAAATCTTCGTCGTTTTCATTAACGGCCTCTTTGCCGCAGGCTTTCCTTAACACTGATCTAAACAAACAAACAAACATACAAAGAAAAAAAAAGAAACAAGAGCTAAACAAAACGTTTTATTGACTTTACAGTTTCAACACCCCACCAAACCCCTGCCTCAATTCTTCAATCAAGGAATGCTAAACTTGTTAACCAGTTCACTTCCAGAGTCAATGACGAACCTTGTGATTTGAGTGTGTGGATGAAATCCTATGGTGTGAACATTCAATTCAAATGAAACCTCTTCAGTAGTACTTTCACATGGTACCATTTATTTAGTATGTACTTCCAACTTTTGAATCTGTGGATGAAATCCTATGGTGTTACCATTCAAATGAAACCTCGTCAGCAGGACTTTCACATGGTACCGTTCATTTAGTATGTAGTTCTAACTTTCGAGTCTGTGGATGAAATCCTATGGTGTTACCATTCAAATAAAACCTCTTCAGTAGTACTTTTACATGGTACTATTTATGTAGTATGTTTTTCTCACTTTTGAGCCTGTGGATGAAATCCTATGGTGTGACCATTCAAATGAAACCTCTTCAGCAGTACTTTCATATGGTACTATTTGTTAAATAGCATTTTACAAAATAAAATTTGGAAATTTTTGGTTGGACTTTGACAGACTTTGATGACCTGTGGGCGGGGAATGAAAGGGTTAACGACGAAGGCTATAAATCACCCACGATACCAAGTTCTTACCGTAAAACAGTTGGATCACTGGCGCTGCGACTGAGGTGATAAGAGATAGCTACAAGCAGACCACTGAACACTGAAAACAGTACATACTGACCACCTTCAACGCCATTCTACAACGTAAAACAAACTTGATATAACCTGATACTAACGCAATACTAACAGTACCACTGAGTAAACTCTCTTGAAAGCTGAAACCCTGGCACATAAGACACCACATTATACTGAAAAAAAAAATTTCCCTGATAAGACAACAAAGCCCAAAAGGACATTTCATTGTAAACAATAAATACTTGTGAGCGCCACCATATTGAACATTCCTGACTTTGTTTTCGCTATTAATAAATGTTATTCTAGAAGAAGAAACGGGCAACAACCATACGACGTCAGTGAAACTGAAAATGGCTGTTGCAGGAAATAATCGATAGTCTAACTGGATACTTGTCAAAACGCAAAAGCCAAAAACGGATTATGCACGCCCAATCGACAAGGATCCAAACAAAGGGCACCCCCAAATTTTTCTGGCTTGTTCGAAAACAATCCCACCTATTTCCCAAAACGTAACAGCAATTTGTGATTAGAGCGGAGGTTCTAAAACCAATTTCGTTCGTTCATGTATTTCTGTAAACGATTCAAAAGACACACGCTAACACAGTAGACAAATGGTTCTAAGACTGTTGCTTGTAAGGAGACAATGATGTAGCAAGCAATTAACATGGGCTAATCTTATATCAAGTTTCAAGTATTCCGCGCGAAAACAAATTACTTTTGTTAGAATGATTCAGTCCATTCGCTACTTTTAGAACATTTATTCCCTACAGATTCGCTGTGTTACACTTCACGTAACGAGAAGAAAAACAGAACGAAACGGAACTAATACCGTAAAATTCCGAAAATAAGCCCCTCCATATACAAGCCCCCCCGGGGGCTTGTACTTGGAAAATTGCCCTCAAATACAATGTAAAACAAAGCAAAGACGGTAAATTTACTTCCAACTATAAGGCTAGCCCAATTGATTTTGAAACGCAAATTTCCCTCCGTAGATAAGCCCCTCTGAATACAAGCCGCTCAAAAAGGGCCTTTGAAAAATATAAGCCCCGAGGCTTATTTTCTGAATTTTACGGTATGTCAAACACATGTCAAAAGTTCACTGTGAAATTAGTCAATCAGAAATGTTCATTGAACAGCATAGATTATCACATGCAATTCCAACAACTTTGGCATTGGCGCTTACCAGCATTGCTCCATAGCAGAAACCATACAGAAAGCCGACGGCTAAAATATTGCGAAAAAAGCTCCATAAAGCACCTCTTAGACTTGTTATAGCTGGAAAGCAATAAAAACATTGTTTGATTACACGTATTTACTGTGATAAACCAGTTTTGCTGTCATATGCGTGATACAGAAACTATATCCACATAATTATCAATATACGTCTTCATAAGACATTTTGCATCCAATCAAGTTTCAGTTCCATGGCCAATCCCAAAAACGTATCACTGGAAATCACTGGCGATCCTACCATTTCCTCCAAAAACATGCATGTCCAGCTGCTCAAGAGCGTACATGAGAAATGTGTTAACTTGAGGCAACAGGCCAACAAGAAAGATCAATGGGAAACCAAGTATAAAACCTGCAAGGAAAGGAACAAAACTATCTTAGTTAAACTGGACTGGAGCAGTTGTTGTTGTTGTTTTGCTTTCTAAACCAATAGAGTTAAACAGGTTGTACCGTTGGCGATTATTTCAGGGAAACAAAGTCTTTCGAATCGTTTATTCAATCAATTTTTTAAGCGATAAATAAGGGCTGTTGAAAACCAATTAGATTCGAGCATTTGAAAACACTAGAGGTNAAAAAAAAAATTTCCCTGATAAGACAACAAAGCCCAAAAGGACATTTCATTGTAAACAATAAATACTTGTGAGCGCCACCATATTGAACATTCCTGACTTTGTTTTCGCTATTAATAAATGTTATTCTAGAAGAAGAAACGGGCAACAACCATACGACGTCAGTGAAATTGAAAATGGTTGTTGCAGGAAATAATCGATAGTCTAACTGGATACTTGTCAAAACGCAAAAGCCAAAAACGGATTATGCACGCCCAATCGACAAGGATCCAAACAAAGGGCACCCCCAAATTTTTCTGGCTTGTTCGAAAACAATCCCACCTATTTCCCAAAACGTAACAGCAATTTGTGACTAGAGCGGAGGTTCTAAAACCAATTTCGTTCGTTCATGTATTTCTGTAAACGATTCAAAAGACACACGCTAACACAGTAGACAGATGGTTCTAAGACTGTTGCTTGTAAGGAGACTTGTGTTGCAATGAAAACAATGATGTAGCAAGCAATTAACATGGGCTAATCTTATATCAAGTTTCAAGTATTCCGCGCGAAAACAAATTACTTTTGTTAGAATGATTCAGTCCATTCGCTACTTTTAGGACATTTATTCCCTACAGATTCGCTGTGTTACACTTCACATAACGAGAAGAAAAACAGAACGAAACGGAACTAATACCGTAAAATTCCGAAAATAAGCCCCTCCATATACAAGCCCCCCCGGGGGCTTGTACTTGGAAAATTGCCCTCAAATACAATGTAAAAAAAAGCAAAAACGGTAAATTTACTTCCAACTATAAGGCTAGCCCAATTGATTTTGAAACGCAAATTTCCCTCCGTAGATAAGCCCCTCTGAATACAAGCCGCTCAAAAAGGGCCTTTGAAAAATATAAGCCCCGAGGCTTATTTTCTGAATTTTACGGTATGTCAAACACATGTCAAAAGTTCACTGTGTAATTAGTCAATCAGAAATGTTCATTGAACAGCATAGATTATCACATGCAATTCCAACAACTTTGGCATTGGCGCTTACCAGCATTGCTCCATAGCAGAAACCATACAGAAAGCCGACGGCTAAAATATTGCGAAAAAAGCTCCATAAAGCACCTCTTAGACTTGTTATAGCTGGAAAGCAATAAAAACATTGTTTGATTACACGTATTTACTGTGATAAACCAGTTTTGCTGTCATATGCGTGATACAGAAACTATATCCACATAATTATCAATATACGTCTTCATAAGACATTTTGCATCCAATCAAGTTTCAGTTCCATGGCCAATCCCAAAAACGTATCACTGGAAATCACTGGCGATCCTACCATTTCCTCCAAAAACATGCATGTCCAGCTGCTCAAGAGCGTACATGAGAAATGTGTTAACTTGAGGCAACAGGCCAACAAGAAAGATCAATGGGAAACCAAGTATAAAACCTGCAAGGAAAGGAACAAAACTATCTTAGTTAAACTGGACTGGAGCAGTTGTTGTTGTTGTTTTGCTTTCTAAACCAATAGAGTTAAACAGGTTGTACCGTTGGCGATTATTTCAGGGAAACAAAGTCTTTCGAATCGTTTATTCAATCAATTTTTTAAGCGATAAATAAGGGCTGTTGAAAACCAATTAGATTCGAGCATTTGAAAACACTAGAGGTATATATTAGTCAGCATAAAGGTTTAAAGGTTTGTTTATAGTGGAAAGTGCACTTAGCTTATCCAGCTAGTTTACAAGCACTTCACTCAAATACTTAGAGACAAATAATTCAAATACAACATAACAGAATTAAAAACCCCAACTGGCAGGAGGCAACCGACAGACCATTTTCGATATATGAAAATTCATACTTGGCACCGAGGCTGGGGGAATAAAACAACATGACTTCTTTTGTTTTATTCCCTAAGCCTTGCAGCCGAGTATGAATTGTACTGATATATCGGAATTGGTCTGTTGGCTATTTACAAGCGTGGCCAAGGATTTGAACTCGGGACGACTGAGAACAAATCCAGCAAGTGGCCAGAGCGGGACTCGAACCCGGGACCGCCGGATTGCGAGTCCGACGCGCTGACCACTCGGCCACGCTGCCTATTTAAAAGCATCGCTCTATTATTCGCCACTATAGAAATTAGAAGGAAACCAGAAAGAGTTAATTGTCACAAAGACTTGTGGGATCGTTACTGAAGACGCGCCAATCAGCTATTGGCCAATTTTTTTTCCCTGTCCACAGTAACAGTCCCACAAGTCTTTGCGAAAGTTAACGCGTCCCAATCTCCATCTCATTTCTAAAGCGATGAATTGTTTATGTTTGTTTACAGCTGTTTTTAAAAACCAGCGCGGAACTTGCCTGTAGCTACATCGCAGATACATAAAATACATAACAATGAAAGCAAACTAACGCACAAACAAAGTCTCAGGTATTGTTCTTCGTGCTTGAGTATGACTTACCGAGCAGAAAATCTCTTGTATAGGAGATCGTGGAATTAGTAGCAAACGGAATGCCATACACGGTAAATGTTGATACGTCAGTCTTCTGTGCTTTATCCAAGACAAGGATACAGATAGCTAAAGCACAGAAGTATGTGGGCCGGCTGAATACAATCATGTGATTGTGACCCTGTAAAAAGACAAGAACCATCTTGTGTTAATACTTTGACAGAACCATTATTTGGAAGAAGGAGGATTCTTATACCAGAAACCTCAGAAAAAATTCCAAGCTCCAGGTGAGACTGGAACTCTTGACTCTCCGAGTTCTAGTTCGGACGCTCTAACTACTGAGCTACCGGAGGCTCTATGGCGAGCAGAATCAAAATTTAATTATAACTACACCAGTCATATTATTGAAAATTGACTAGCGGAAGTTAATCTTTTCTCTCTTTCAATGCTCTTGACTCGATAACTTCAGGGTACTTTAAATCAAACATAACCTATCAAACTCTTTGTGGCAGATAGAAGCGTTCCATCAAGCAAATCACATAACTCATCTGGTGTACTACCCATAACGTGCAGGACATCAGCTCAACTCGTTATTCCTCGAAAAACCAACTTTTACAAGCCAGGGTAGCACTTAAGGTTGATTTTCATATGATCACTACGATTGCCAAAAAACTCTAGCCATGGTAGCGATCTAAGCTATCGTTTTTCCAGGCACATCCGTCATTTTGAGTCTATACTAGGCAACTACATCGAAAGTGGTCAAAAACCGCACAAGGAAAATAAAAGATTAACAAACACACTTACATGAGTTGGAGAGGCAGCATCAGGCTGAACACTCTGTAAAAAAAAAAAAAGAGATGCACATAGTAAGTATACCAATGCAAGAAAATCAACCTTGTCATAGAAAAGTGAAGTCAAAACCGTTGGCGATTTCCTACCGTTTTTCGGTCGTCTGTTGGCCGTTTGTCAAGCAACTGTTAGCCAAGTGCTGGCCTACTGTTTGCCAACACTTGGCCAAGAGTCGGCGTGACACTGACCCTAACGAAGCGCTGCAACTCGTGTGTCAATAATTACAATAAGTTCCGTGGTCGACATACAATATAATCAGATAAAATCAGGAAATATCTTCTAACCTTAATGAGGGAAAACTGACATCCAGCCAGAACAAAACAGAACACAAAAATCCAGAAGTCTTTATAAAAATCGGACAGCAAAAGCCAGTACCCAAGGACTCCCACCAAAATAGCCAACAGTACTGATACGACAGCTTCTATCTTGTGTTTGTTTCTTCGAAGGAGAAAACAAAAATTATTGTTATGGTAATCAAAGATATTTCTCATTGTGGTTTGCGTACAATAGGTTAGTTTATTATTCGTTCAAAATATTTCGCCGTTTCCGATTGGTACAAATCTTTCGGCTAATTCTTCAAAACCAGCTAACGTTGAGCAAATTTGGAAGACGATATAAAATGACGTCAATAGTGCAGGCTACGGTCAGAAAAAGCCACGGTAACCGCGAAGTCCTGGGACTAGGTTGCGTTAGTTCAGTGGTCAAAAGCTTTGGTAGAGCTGGAGAAAACGGCGGAAAATTTTACACGTTTTGCGAAGAAGAAATAGCCGAACTTCTGCCTAAAAACATGGCAAAAACAGCAAAAGTACAACTTCACGGATGACAACTTCTGAGAAGCATGATTCACGCGCAAAGTTCTTTTGTTACCAATCTAACTAGCCTCCCACGCAGACGTTCTCAGGGGTTCGTCACGCGTTCCTGCCCCACAGCCTGGCAAGAACGCGTGACGAATCCCTAAGAACGTCTGCGTGAAAGGCTACAATCTAACCCTATTGCTTTTTTGCCGCTCTTGTTGCTGTCGCCGTCCTCGTTGCTTAAGCACCCTATGCATCAGTTATTGAGTCCGCCATATTTTCAGTTTTATTCTAAACACTGAAACCTACCTGTCCATAAGTGCTAACAGAGCAAGTCGATCAAATTTGATTTTCAAAAACTTTCCAGGAAGAAGCTGAAATTTGAAGTAGTGTGGTCTTGGCTTTTCAGTCACAGACGTGGGTCGAGGGAATGGAATACTGACCGAGGAGATTGTCTCCTGCCATCGGGCGTTTGATGAGCTACGACGTGCAGCTGACGGATGAGACTGGAGGTATGCTGACAGACCTGTATCTACAACTACTGTCGATGCCGAGCTGCTTGTCTCCCTAAAATCACCAATTGAACATGGCGTTAAAGATAGCCTGCCAAGCAAGCGTTTCCATGCAGTTTTGGAGCATAGAACAAGGAACGAGAGTCAAAGAACGCGTGAAAAATGGTGCGAGTAAAGAGCGGAGAGGGGGTTTGTCTGCAAGCGTTTCCTTCCTTCCTTCCCCTCCCTCTCCCCCCTCTTTCATTTTTTTACTCTCGTTCCATTTCTCGCGCGGCCAAAACCGAAAATCCCATTCCTCGGTCTTTCTTTGCTCCGAAACCACACGGAAACTTAAAAAAATGAATTCGCGCTGCACTTTATCGCGCTTATTCCATCTCGTTCACTTCAACAATAATATTGTTTGCAAGACTGTATCAAAGCCTGAAGTTCAGGAAAAGAAAAAGAAAGTGATTGTCTTGAGCATGTGTCCACGTTCTGCACAAAACATGAAATTTGGCAGTTTCACGTCTTACGTGCACTGACGGCAAAGAAATATACAAAAAAGGCGTGATGCACGTGCAAAGTTGTTGTTTTGCCAATCTAAACCTTTTGCTTTTTTGCCGTTCTCGTTGCCGTCTCCGTCATCGTTGCTTAAGCTCTCTCTTATATCAATTAATCCGTCATGCGACATGATTTTGTCTAAAGACTCAAAACTTAGGAACGGGACATTTTAAAAGCAAGGGCCTTTTCAATACATATACATAAACCACTTCGTTTCATTACCAGTTTAGTATATCCCTAAGCCGTGTGGGTGAATAACTAGTACTTGGCAAGATAGTTATGTCCTGACCAAACACATAGGTCTGCAAAACACCTGCAAATAGAAATATTTCAGTGAGAGGTTAACCTGTGAAAACAGCCGACATTTTTGCGACGCCATCACTAGTTTCCCCGCGAAATGACGTCTGAGAAACGAGCGCAGAAATTCTATGCTGATGACGCGTCGCTACCCAGATCTGACTAGTGCTTCTGATTGGTTGAAGCAAATTTTCAGCCAATCAGAAGCACTACCCAAATCAAGGTAGTAATGCATCATTAGTATGGAATTTCTGCGCTTGTTTCTCAGACGTCATTTCGCAAGGAATGAGCGATGGCGTCGCGGAATGTCAGCTTTTTTCTCACGCTGGTGAGAGGTGTACTAGATTACAGACCTGCAAAACAGAATGTACTGCACACCCCTTTAGTTGTATAAAGTGTATTACTGTTCCAGACCTGGCTGCAAATAATTTTTCTTTTTGTCCAAGGTCACCGTTTAAGTCAGACAAAACAAAAAAGTTGTCGCACAATTTGTTTTACCATTAGGCAAACCTTCAGCTACAAAATGATAACCTTTGGTGTTTGGTCTCTTCAGTCATCATGTCCAACCTCATGTAGCATTTCGTCTGACACTGACTAGTTTAATACGAATGCGAGCTTCTTTGTTATCTTTTACATGCCTCTTGCTTGTTTTGTACTAATTGACTGTTTGTGGTTTATTGTTGTATTAGTGAGCTTAAGCAAAGACGACGGCGACGGCAACGAGAACGGCAAAAAAGCAATAGATTTGGATTGGCAAAACAACAACTTTGCACGTGCACCAAGCTTTTTTGTACATTTCTTTGCCGTCACTGCATAACTAGGACGTGAAAATCTCTAATTTCGCGTTTTGTGGAAGGACGTGAACACAAGACGACGACTTCCTCTTTCTTTTCCTGGCCTTCGAAACAGTCTTTTAGAATTAACTCCAGAAATAGTTGCCAACATTTGACGAATTGAACGAGATGGAATAAGGCGCGATAAAGTTTGAAGCAGCGCGAATTCACTTTTTAAGTGATGTTTTAGTAGCCGTCGCCATCGTTATTGCTTAAGCTCCCTATTGACCAGATTTTTTCCTTTTTTTTTTTTTAAATAAAGATTTTAAAAAATAACGGAGTGGATATCAATTCACCACTTTAGAATCGAGAAGGGAACTGGAGGCAAAACGCACCCCGCAATTGTTTCTGGTATCATTTTTGGGGACGCGCCGGTCAGCTATTAGAGAGATTTAGATTCAAGTTTACGGCAAACAGCAAACGTCACATTCAAGTTATGATTTCTCAAAATAGAAAATAAGCACATAAAAACTGTTCAGAACAATTTTTATGGATAAAACTGGCGCGAAACTACTTATTTTTGAGTAGAAGTAATAAACAGTAAATGACAATTAAGGGGAAAACTTGGTCACGTGATACAAATTCACGTTCGCCGTTTGGCGTAAGCGTGACTCTAAATCTCTCTATTGGCCAGTTTTTTTCCTTTTTCCTAGTAAAAGTCCCAGAATACTTTGCGAAAGTTAACTCGCCCCAGTTCCCTTTTAATTTCTAAAGTGGCGAATTGCCGCTGACCAGGCGTACCATTTTCATCGACATAACTGTGTTGGGCCCCAGGTGAAGTGTCATCGTGTGACAGGGCTAGATGAGTTGAGGTTCCGCCATCACCTGAATGCAGCAGTTCATCAGCGTGTGCCCCTGAATCAAGTCGTCTGCGCCTTCGAATTGCCCCTCCTGTTTCAGCTCTTCTCCTCCTCTGCAGACTTCTCCTTCTGCGCGCTAGTGATGATGAACGCTGCGCTAGTGCGAGGAGATCGGAGCTTTCTCGCCCTGATCCGTCAGGTTCTCCTATACTCCCTGTTTGTGCTACAGTTGATGCAGTGTCCTTGTTCATTGTGATGTTAACACTCACGCTGTCTATGGACTCTGGCTGCGAACTTGTTGAACGGTTGTGAAAACGGCCTGAATCCTGCAGAGAAAGGGTGTCCAAGATAGAAGGAGTGTCCACTCCGACTCGAATCTGCCTTTCTTCTTCATTATCACCGGCGTCATTTGTTTCCCGCACAATATCAGAAATTGAGCGCATTCGAGGAACAACTGATTTTTCACTCTGCGACTCGTTCCGAGAAAGACTTGTCCCATCATACTCGGAGCCAGACCGGCTTCCAATGATATCCGACATGGTACCAAGCCTGGACCCAAATGAGATCCCTTCATTGATGTCCCCTGAGCTAGTCCCGGGATAGGGGGAGTCTGGCCTCCGGCTCTCCAGGGCCGAGACTAGAGCCTGATATATAGCCCTTGTACTGTTTGATCCATTCACGTTTGAGCCCTCACTTTTGGTCTGCAAGAGAAGGCCCCGTTGCGCTTCTTCATGAATCTTGTAAATGTCAGGGACAACAAGTCCAGGAACAGATCGTGACTCCATGTGGCTGTCCATTATTGGCAAGGGAAGTGTGGAAAGATCACTCAATGTGTCTAAACAATGACAGAAAAGACAAAAAATTTAAATCAGAGGAGATCACCACAGGAAATACACAATTTATGCAGTTGCGAAAAGAAAGCATGAAAAAATTCAGGCTTGCCAGGATTCGAACGCTGACCTCTGCAATACTGGTGCAGTGCTCTAAGCTATCGAGTTGGCAAGCCAACTACTAGCTACAGTACGTTTCTTTGCAACTGTACACATTCAAGCATTCCTTTCTTTAACCACTCGTAATAGACGATCATCGAGCAAAACTAACTATAAACTAGGTGATCCATCACAAGTGACAACATGTCACGATGCGACGACTGTTTTCATTTAATTAATTATTAATTAATTATGGTCACTTCTTACTTCTAACAAGACTTCTCGATTATCCATACTTTTTTCAGGGCCAATTTTTTTACCTATTAATTATTAAAGTGCAATGTAACGAACACATCTGTAAAACCTGAAATACATCACCTTTACTATCTGATTCCAAATCTGTACATGTCTGTTCCTGACTCGTATGGTGTTCAATTTCCCCACCCACTGCTCCCTCCAAAGTTTCATCTGAATCCTCAGTTGGAACCTCTGTGGCTACAAAAGCAGAAGAGAAATAAAAAATTGACTGAATCTAAATGTGATTTAAAACAATAATTATTGGATGAACTTTTAATGGTATTCAGAAGAATCAGGGTTTGAGGTACTGCTTCTTTTCCAGACATCTCTCTTGCAAAGTTGATTTGTGTACAAAGGAAGGCGGGAAGGAGGAAACGGGCAAGAAATCTCTTTGCCTTTCTTCTTTTTCCTTTCTGTGGTCCCTGATACTTTCTCACCAGTCATTTTCATTTCACGCTCTCCTTTGTTTGCCACCCAAGTGCAAGAAAACAAAGCCCCTGAGGAGTTGGCAGGTCGAAGTAAAGGCCGCGGCTGATAACAATTACCGAGACCTTGATTATTCCAGATAACACAAAAACTGGATCTAATTACAATAGATCAGGTGTTTTCACCCTTGTCTTAAGCGATTGCGGTGAACTAAAAGGAGGTACATTGTATTGAACAACTCACCATTAACTTGTTCATGGCTTGTTTCTCTAGACTCTATTTGTCCACTTGGACTATAAAGGAGAAAAAAAGAATGAGATCGACACGACTTAATTTATTTTTTCCTGCACTAACCAGTACTATAGGGTGTTTTGGAATAATGGTGTAACCTAAGGAGGGAAGGAACCAATACAAACTAATATGGTGTCTTACTAAGGATAACTCGAGGCAGGAGTGGTGGAGCAGTGAGAACGCTGGACTTGCAATCTTGAGGCCCCAGGTTCAAATCCTGTCCTGCTCATTGGCTGGATTTGTTCTTGATATACCCAAGTTCTACTCCTAAGCCATGCCTGTAAATAGCCAACTGGTTTGCCTGTGGCCAGTTGGGAGTCTTGTTGTTACGCTTATGTCAATCATTTGTTTTAGTACTTATTTTTAAGCCACAAGGTACTGTAAACTTGTGATTACCGGTTCCAATAATATTGTGTCAGCCCCCAAAGTTACAGCAAGGAGCCCAAAAGTGTGGCAGCTTTTTACTTATTCACATTCTTTCTTAAAGATTTAATCCAATCAGAAGCCAGCAGGAAACTGTCCTCGACTTCTAATTGGTTAATGTCTGCATGAAAGAATGTGACTTAATTAAAGGAGGTCACACTTTTAGGCTCCTTGCAGTAATACTTTTTATGTTTGATTGTAATTTTTTCCCACTCAATCCAAATGGTATTCAAAGACAAGGGTACCTTAGTCGAATACTATGTTCCAATCTTTCAGTTTTCTCCAACTCATCGGCAAAACTGATCTGAAAAGATAAACATTGTTGCCATGAACCTAGTTTCTCCGTAGTCTGCTGTAACTCAGTGGCACAGCACCTGGAGCAGTAACTTGTCTAGACAGTCACAGATTTCAACTCCTGTTGGGGGAACTCACATTTATTTTCTAAGTGGCCTGTGTCACTGACTCAAAAAACATACCCACAATTACAACCCTTCAAGTTGCGACCATTTTGGTGACCATGGCACCCAAAATTTTGAAGCTGGTGACTTGATTTGTATAGAAGGTCTCCCTAAACCAAACGAGTTGGTTACCAAATGGCGATCGAGCAAAAACTTTAACTTGGAGGGTTGAATTATCAAAAAGGATGTTGTATATTTAACTTTTAATTACACAGTGCAGGTCTGAAGTTTAGTCTGTGAAAAATGAAAATAAATGGCTGCAAGGTTTTAAGGCCTAAGTGACTCCTGACCTGATGTGAAATTCTCACTATGATTGACAAGCAGAAAAAAATCAGATTGAAAGGAGAATGAAACTTAAATAGACATTTTTATTTTACACACTCAGATATTTTCTGTTTGATCAGCAGCCATTACTGACCTCTTTCTCTTTTATTCTTTCACATCTTAATTCTACTTCAACTATTTCTTCATCTTCACATTCACCAAGATCTGCAACGGAACAGAAGTAAATTGCTTTTGCATCCACCAATCAACAAAATTGATGATACAATAGAGCAATGTCCTGCACATAAGGAGGCAGCGTATTATAGTTCTATAGTTATACTATAGTTTCGAGTATTATAGTTTTCCTAGTCACGTTTTTAGTATGTGGCTTTTTAGTCGGTTTTAGCTTTTTATATTTTATGTTTTTATTACCAAGTTTTTTATATGTATATATTTATTGAGTTGTTTTTGAAATTGAATAATATTATAACATAGCCGTAATTATTATAGATTTTACTTATACACGTTCGTATTTTGAACGAGTTTTTTAGCTCTTTGACATAACGTGTTAAAATAAATGATTGATTGATTGATTGATTGATTGAGCATGGCTGAGCGGTTAGACACTGGACTTGCAATTCAGAGGCTCTGAGTTGAAGTCCCGCCCCGACCGCTAGCTGGATTTGTTCACAGTAGTCCTGAGTTCAAATCCTCAGCCATGCTTGTAAATAGCCAACAGGTTTGCCTCCAGCCAGTTGGAATACTTAACCCTGTTAAGTTCAATTTGAATTCTTAGTTTCAGGCATTTGCTCAGCCGCACTATCATTGGTGCTATAAATAATGCCAAGTAAATAATGGAATTATTGCAGGCAACAAGAGGAACCCACAATCCTAATCTCCAGGTTGCTATTATGCATGCGTCGCATGTATGTAGCCAGCATTCATTCAGACTTCCACTTAAAATGAATGAAATGCACAAAATGCGATTTGATCACGCATGTTTGGATCTTCTATCACTAAGATTGATTGATATCATCTGATTGCCCATGTTTTGACCATCTGTCATTTGAAACTTATGCAAAGCACCCCATTGGAGCAAAAGCGTTTTAACCTTCTATCATTGTTGCCCACACTCTGTAACCTTTGGTTATTACTGGTTATAGTTGTTAAGTGTATCTTCAGTGCAGTTTTAGGCAATAAAAAAGGGACAGGCTGCTGAATGGATCACCAACTGCCGCCTACCTCTCAGTCAACAACTGACACATTATTTTTTAACTGCCTAACATTTTCTTGGTTGCATGTCAGCTGAGTGTACACCAAAATTTGGTCTACTGAAGATCAACTGTTGGGAAAGTGCCAACCAACATTGAAAATTGGTCAAAAGTTGCAAGACAGTTTTTTACAAGTTTATTAGGGGAGCCGTTCTTCACAATTTCCTTGTAATTGTTATTATTAGTATTATTATACTACTACATGAGAAATTCCTGCAATTTGATTGGCTTAGAGCAGTGGTGTTTCAGCGTAATTTGAAATACCTACATGTGAAAATTACAACCTTTTGCGGGTACTGGTATAAACAAATAATAGCATGATTTGTACTTGATATTTCGCATAAAAACCACTCGTGATATTTCAAAATTGTCTCAAATTTCACTCGCCTAACGGCTCGTAAAATTACGTATAACAATTTTGAAATATCACTCGTGGTATTTATGCCAAATACCACTACTAATCATGCTATTACCTGTACTAATTATTATTATTATTATCACTCCAACTCATCGGCAAAACTGATCTGAAAAGATAAACAGTTATTATCATTATTACTATTATTATTATTATTATTATTATTATTATTATCATTACTATTATGTTTTATTTTTATTTAGCATGAACAGAAGCTCATTCAGTCCATATAATTATAACGCAACAGATCATACAATGTAAATTCCAGTCTGTTAATCACATACCACAACACTCTGCTTTATCCATTCCATGTTCATCACTGGCCTATAAGTCAAATCAATAAAGAACACAGTCAAAATATCAACAAAGGTAGCTCTTCCTAAAACACACATACTGTGCTCTATTACATGTAAATTTCTAAGAGGAGAGGTGACCTAGAAGAGACTGTCTAGAAGAAGGAGCTTAATAGAGACAGCATGATGGCAAATTAGTGTTTTTTCTTTGCAAATGCTGGCTAGCTTTAATTAATAGCAGCAAAGTCTACAAAGCTTGAAATCCTCCTGTCCAGTTATCCAGAAAAAGTAAATACTCCAGCTGGGTAGATACCTTTTCATGCTTTTTATTATCTAAAAAAATATGTAGATCTCCTTATAACACAGCTCTACATGTCAGGTGTCTTGCTGTATAAACTGACTGCCAAAACACAGACATGCATGCATCTGAGAGATAGATGTGCCAGCACTATAGTGTACATGAATTTAACCTTGACTTTAGAAGAGATTGTTTAACAGGCTACTGGCTTAGGTAGAATAATCAAGGAAATCAGACAACAAATTAAAATTAAAGCTTTGCAGCGTGAACTCAGAAAGAGCTAATCTGCAGAGTACAATGGAAGGACTGACACAAAAGATTTGCAATATTCTCATTGAAAGTGAAAAGGAAAATAATGCAAAATTTTAGAGCACATCATGTGTAAATGTAGTTAACAACAAAGTCTTATGCTTTTGGCCAGCAGTCTTTTTGGTGGTGTGATCCTTTGTTCGCCTTTGTTTATTTCAGCTCTATATGTGCTTAGTACCATAATCACTGTAATTACAGGGCTTTTTTTAGCTTTAGCTTAACCTGGCTGTGCCAAATTAGTGGATTAATCTCCTTGACAACCCAACAACATTAAGGGATGCAGGTAAAAACATTTTGTTAAAAGTGATTTTACAAATTTCAGATAAGAATAATAACATTTTTCTGTCCTGTGAAAGATAATTAACCATAAAATAACAGTGCAAATTACGGTAGGTTTAAAGCAAGCTATGCATCTAGATGTATTAAAATTAAAAGACTCATTATAGAAATTATATGAAGCTCTATCTGTCAGGGCTGCATGAATATTAGAAACAGGTCATTAAACAGCTACAAGGATCACATGCAGGAGATAACAATCGAGAATGGCAATATTTAGAAGCTGTTATTTAAAAGATGAGATAAATATTACAGTTATCAAGGAGTAGAACCTGGTGAAGACTTGCAGCAGTGGTAACTGATGTGGAGTTTATAGGAAGAGAAGAGGAAGAGGGAAGCAGGGTGGACAGAGCTGTAGCGGTAGATGGTTGTGTTACATTGTCCTCGCCACCTTGGTTGGCAACATCTTCGGAACAATGGTTTATCACCTCCAGTTCTATCACCTCCCCTACTGCATCTGCGGGACCACTGCTAACCTCTATGCGCGATATCTCGTCATGTTCAGCTCCTGGTTCTTCATTTTGAGCATCCTGTTGTTCACTTTCAGTGCGGATTTCTTCACCATCAAACATCAAGTGTAGTCTGTAATTCAGACATTTTAAGACCAAAAACAGGATAGCGATGAACACAGAATAGAAAATCCAGACTATAGTTGATGGAGCTGTCCCCTGAAAAACAGTTATTGATCAAAGTTATATTTATAACTTAAACTAAAATATTGATGGAGGAAAACCATTACACCGTCTTGTCTTCTTCATATTATTGTTGTTATCTTGTTAATGTGACGAAATGACAAATGAGCTTAATGTTATACTTTGTATATGACGTTGTTTAATTTTACTCTCGGTTTTAATTTTATATACCTTTGTTCGAAACTTATTTTCATAGATAACCATACCGCCCCTCCCCCGCCGAAAAAAAAAAATGGAAAATAAAATTTACACCACTGGATTAAATTGAACACCAACATATAAGCTTACATATTCACACCATACACCGACTTACAGTAAAACAGAGAGAACAATGTCACTCATTCCTTGGTCACACATGTATAAATTGTAGGTGAGTTAACTCACACTTGAACACGTGACGCAAACCTCAGTGTCTGAAATAACTTGTTGACACAAAAGCCACTGGCAAGCTAAGCCAAGGAGTCACGTCAAAAATTGTACAATTTACAAATGTAAAGTATTCCCTAAAACTGGCTCTGAATATTCATATTAAATGATTCCTAATATGGGATTCAACGCACACGAATATAAAGCTTAAATTACTTGGGGAAAGCGCTAGATCGAGTTTAACCGAAGAAGCAAAAAATAAACCTCTTCAACTTGAAATCTGCGGCAACATTTTTAAATTACATCAGTAACAAATAAACCATGTCTATATCTGTGAGTCTTTACCCTGAAAAAGGCCATTTCTTTACGCTTACACGCATGAATTCCTTAATCTAGAAAAAGGTCAATCACAGTGAATCTTACCAGATACAAGGAAAACGGCAAGCAAAGTAGAAGAATCCACAGATAGAAATGAAATGTGTTGGTAAAGATTTCCTGATGAGGATCAAAGAACCAGCCGCCGGTCAAGGACGCCCAAACTCCCTGTCGCAAGATCTCTAATGTTTGCGATCCCATTCTTCACTGACTAGTTTCCTCCTTGGCCTACATCTTCCTGCTATAAACACAAAAGTGTTCTTGGCGACACACTGACTACCGCCATGTTTTTTTCATTTTGGAAGGCGAAGTTAGGTGCCCGCACAAATAACAACCAGCGGTATGATTTTTGAGGGACGCTAGATTGGAACGTAAATGACGTACACCCTAATTCCAAAATGGCTGCCTTCTTGTGAGGTTTTCTAATTTCAATTTGCCGTCCTTAAATATTTTGTCAGAAATGATCAGAGAAGGCGAGTTTGTGATTCTGAAAAAGGATAATGTCATGAAAGTGGTCAAAGTTCGTAAGGGCAGGTAACAATCTGTTTGTTTCCCTAGATGCACATACTTAAAATCACATGGTTAAGCAGAAGGGGCTATTTTCCTGGAGGGAGGAGGATTCCAGCACCCTCAAGACCCTAGAAACCAGATCATCCTAGCGCCATTCAGTTTACATGCAAAGGGTTTTTTGCCCCTAGTGCTTGGATCGATCCTCCTAGTACGTAACCTAGGTTCTTCCACGAATATCCCCTCTGAATACAGAAAACAGCTAAGAAAACATATGGCGCTAGGATGATCCGCCTTCTAGGATCTCCTGGTGCTATACTCTCCTAAGTGTTTAGATCTTCTGCAGTTAAGTCATCCCTCTTTGAAATAATGATATAGGAAAGAAGTATTTGAAAAGTTGCACTTCATGTTGGACAATGCTATTGGCTGTCCCTTGGGATCCATCTTTGAAGTTAAAGGAGGAAAATTAAACAGATTAGAGGGAAAAGAGGATGTGGATGAGCTTCTTGTGGCTAAACCCGACAGTGGTAAGTTGAAATAATGTGATTAGCAATTTCCAGGTGAGAATATTCAGGCAAACTCCATAAGAATGATATCAAATCCAAAAGACCTCATTACTGAAATGCTGTCGATTTAAGTTAAATTGGATAAGCACTGGTCTACCCAGTGGGTGGCCACAGGTTCAAATCCAGGCCGGACCAGCATCAGAGTCTTATTGTGCTGTCTTAATGATGGCATCTGGAGACGGTAAAACTTTGTAGCCAAACACTAAAATCTACTCATCTCCGATGACTGGGCAAGAATTTTTTCAAGACCTTGATGTAGGACTCAAAATGAGAGCAGGCTTTGTATACATCTTGAAAACCCTTGAATTTTAGAGTCCTTTTCAAGGCCTTGAAAGTTCTTGAAATTCTCTGTCATTCATTTTGGTCCTTGAAAGTCCCTGAAATTTAACTGAAGAACATTTTAAAACCTCCAAAAGACTTTGGCAAATGCCAGGTTTGAAGCCAACAGAATTGGCATTGAGTGAATGAAAGTCAGGTATTGACTTACAAATGAAAATGGAAATGGTTGACGTTAAGAACAAAAACCTATTGTTATCGGAATATATTCACAGTTTATTTGGAACATATGTTAAAAGTAATAAATTAAGTCCTTGAAAAAAATGTGGTCCTTAAAAATTTTTGAAAAGTCCTTGAATTTTACACGGGAAGTGGATGAACTCATTGAGAATTCTCAAGTGCATGCACATTGGTTGCATGGCCATGATACCCCCTTCTGTGAAAATTAAACTAGTAGCTGTGACAGACACAATCCTCAGTTACTGATCATTGTACTATTGCCTAATTTTACAGAGGATGACAAGAATAACCAGTTTTTTCAAACTGATGGCACTTCTCAGAAGCTGTCGAGAGATGAAATTATGAATCTAAAAGCACAAGGGGTCAGTGGCAAGGTAAGAGAATAAACATAAATCTCTGAAGCATTGGCTGCCAGGTAACGAAAACAACTTCGATATGTCTTTACCCTATCCACCTTGACTTCATCGCCAATATTTTATTCTAGGATATTGTTGAACACCTTGTGGAGAATAGTGTAACATTCAAGGAAAGAACTCAGTTTTCCCAAGCAAAGTATAAGAAAAGGAAGATGAAAAAGTAAGAACTATTTTTTGTCAGTGCTGCACAATAAACGACTGTTTAACTGTGACAATAGATGAATCAAAATGCACCAATGACATTTGAGTCTTCATAGCCAAAAACATCACGACTTAATTGACCAATCAGGTCAGTAACCAGAGTTTGATACCATCAACTGACGTGATACAACTAACTTTGACTCTGAAGATGACAACCACACAGGCTGTTGAAACGTCAGTCACTGTCAACAACAGTCCTATTCAGGACTACATTCACCCAGACGATCACACACTCAACCTACTTATTTCACATATTTTTAACTTCAAAATTATCTCAAGACGGCCCAAGCTTTTTAAGTTTTCAACTCAAAACCCTGTAAAAAAGATTAACATACATGTTAAT